TTCCCCTCCTCCTCCTCCTCCTCCTCCTCCTCCTCCTCCTGCTCCTCCTCCTCCCTCCTTCTCCTCACGGGGCGAGCGATTGTATGGGGCGTGCCGAGGGGAGGCCGGGCGGGGCGGAGCAGGGAGGAGGAGGAGGAGGATCGGGCCGGGTCTCCGCGGAGGGGCCCCCGTCAGAGGCCATTGCCCCTGGTGCACTGCACGTAACGGTGGGTGGCCCCTGGCCGGAGTGACCTCTGGTGCAGGCCCACGGGGGGGCCCCCCGACCGCCGGGCACGCGATTCGGCAGCAGCGTCTTGCGCGCTCGTGCGTGGCCCCCCCGCGGCCCCCCGAAAGGCCGCGCACCGAAGGCCACCCTGACCCATGGCCACCCCTGCGTGCAGCCGACTGCCGGGAGAGGGGGAGGCGAAGTAGCTCCAGCACAGTCGACCCTCAAAGGAAGGTTGGGCAGCCTTCCCAGGGGCTCCCTTGGCATCCTCGCCGCTCCAGCCCATCCTGAGCGACTTCCCTTGGCCAGTCTCGCTCGAAGAACGTTTGATGGGCTTGTTTTCCACCATCACCGCCACCACCACAAGTGGGAGAGGGGAGAAGGAGGTTGAGGATGAGGAGGAAGAAGAGGAGGAGGAGGAGGAGGAGGAGGACCCCCTCCCCCTCCTACTTATGGTGGTGGTGGAACACAAGCCCACCAACGTTCACGTGGTGATCCAAGGCCCTCGCATCCGGGGAGCGGCCCTCTGGGGTCACCTTTGGGCTCTCTGGGTGTTCTTCTCGGGCCATCGGGCCTTCTCGCTTTTGGCCTCCTCGGGCTCCCCCGGGCTACCCCGTGGCTCCATGGGGCACTCCTGGGGTGCTCTTCGGCCGCCTGGGGTTACCAGTTTGAAACATATCCCTATCCCTATGTTTGACATCACCTCACCTCGTTGCCGATCTTAAGGATTCCCTCAGTTTCTGAGGGCCTGTCCCTAATATTGTCCTCGCTTTTTTCCTCGCCCATCTTAGGGATAGGGATAAGTTCGAGGCTGGTTATGGGGCTCTTGAGGGCTGTCTTGGGACGTCTTGCGGCCAGCTTGGGCCCTCTTGGTGCCTCTTGTGCCGTCTGGAGGCGACGCTGTATGCCCCTTGGGCCGTCCTGAGCTTTGAGAAGCCAGAGAGGCGAGCGGCGAGCGCGCAAAGACAATCGAGGTCGAAGCACATGCGCGCGAAGTCCATGGTACTTGGCCTCCGGGGGGCCTCCCAGGGGTCCTCGCGGAGCCGTCTCGGGGGCCTCTTGAGTCGTCTTCAGGCCGTCTTGGGCCATTCTGGAGGCATCTTGAGGTCGTCTTGGGCCCTCTTGGGGCTACATTGCCCGACTCGGAGGCCATCACCGCCGTCTTGGAGGTCGTCCGGGGCCATCCGGGGCCGTCTCAGAACCAAGCTCGGGGGGAAAAGCGCATCCTGACCCTCCTACGCGGCGCTTGCCGAGCGGTCCTGGGCGTCTGCGTGCACTGCAGAGCTTCGCTCGTCGTGGTGCCTATGATTGAAGGGGCCCCAGGACACACAAATAGATACACACAAATAAAAACGTTCCCCATATTTTCCTTATAGTTTCTGGGTTCTCGTCTTCCCCCCCCCCCACTTCTCCTATTTTCCCATGGTGTCTCTGTGTGTGTGCGTGTGTGTGTGTGTGTGTGTGTGTGTGTGTGTGTGTGTGTGTGTGTGTGTGTGTGTGTGTGTGTGTGTGTTTTTCTTCCTGAACGAGGAGGGCGGCGCTCCCTGCCGTCTGTGAGAGGCGTCCCCTCCGACGCCCGCTCGGGGCCCCCCTGCACGGGCAGTGCCCGCCGGCTCCCACCCTGCCCTCTGGGGGCCGCCGGGTGAGGCCGAGAGCCCCGGGGTACATTCTTTGGATGGGGCACCCTCGTCTCTTAGGGCTTGTCGACTTTTCGCCAATCGACTTGTGAGAATCGAGCCAGATAAACCCAGGTAAATGCAGATAAATCGAGGTAAATCCAGGTAAATCTAGATAAATCTGGGTAAATCCAGGTAAATCCATAGATCTCCAGGGAAAGTTCGAGCACTTCGCGGCCGCTCCAGCGCGAGTCGAAGGACGGCAGAAGTCGTTAAGCCTTTAACGACCTCGGCCACGCGCAGAGGGGGGCGGAGGGAGGGGGGAAGGCTGCTTAGAGGCACCCCCTTGGTGGGCCCCGGAAACGGCAGGGCCGTTTTGTCACCGTTTCCGAGGAAGTGCCCATTGAAAATGGAAGCGGCAACAAAAGCGGCGACCAGAAACGGCAAAAAAACGGCTCCAGGATTGGAACCAGAGCCGGAACCGGTCAAAAAACGGCGACGGAACCGGTAAAACAACGGCGTCGGAACAGGCAAGAAAACGGCAAAACGGAACCAGTAAAAAAACGGCCCTGTCGTTTCCAGGGCCCACTAAGGGCACCCCTGCTTCTTAGAAGGCGCGGTCCTCATGTATAGATGTAAGGCCGCCGCCTTCTGAGAAGCAGCCTCCCTCTAAGAAGCCTTCCCCCTCCCTCCACCCCCCTTCTGCGCGCCGCCAAAGCCAGAAGCAGCATTCACGTTCGTCTTGCCAAGCACCCCTCCCACAGACGACGGGGGCGGCGGATCGAAGACGCCCAACTACGGCGAGCCACTGCCGTCCCCCGTATTCTAGAAGCGCATGTGTGACCAACCGTTCCGTTGGGCTGACGCGTTGCCAAGCTGTTGGAAGATGCGTTCCGCCGCAACCTTGGGAATGCGGTACAGAAACGAGACCAAGCAAACCTGGGGAACGCATTGAGGACACAAGAGCAAGCAACCAGGGGAATGCAGCGATGAACGAAGATTGGACAACCCCAGGGAACGCCACAGTAGGGAAGCAAGACCAATCAGTCCTTGGGAGCTACGGCCAGCCAGGCTGGGCAAGCACCGATCACAAAGCCTAATGGAGGAAAGCCGCTCACATCCTGAACGGGTTCGCTGGAGTTTGTGATGTGAACAAGGCTCGTGAATATTGTGTTCGTCAGACGCTTCTTGCAGCGCTTCTTGAGTGATCTCTCAGCACGCGCCACAATATGGCTCCTCAGTGGCAGCCTAATGTTTATTTTGTTGTGTTGTCAAAAGCTGCTCTAGGCGCTGGTGAATATGTTTCTTAATCGGTAGGCGCTGTTGAATATATGTTTCTTAATCGGATTCCCAATGGGCCCTTAATAGGTGCCGCAAGGTGTGTCTGCATCCCGGCCAAGACAAGAGCTTCACGAGGCGTGGAAGATTTTTGCGTTGAATGCTAAGTGCTTGTGGTCTGACGCGAGTGGGACTTTACAGTTCACATGTCGCTGTAGTCAAGCTTGCCCCCCCCCCCCACTCATGAGTGGCCGCGTGGGCACCTCCAGCTGGATTGTGGCGGTCCAAGGGCCTCTCGGACGCATAGTATAGGAGGTCATCTCCCGTCTCGAACCAAGTTGGAGTATCTTGCGCGATCTTGGAGGCCGTTTTGCCTATCCAGGACTGTCTTGAAGCCTTCAAAGGCCAGTTGGGGCGCTCCACCCTATCACGAGACCGTTGTCTAGACACCAGCGGAAGGACTTCCCTTCATAGGGCGGTCAACCCCACGGACACGGTATTGGCGTGCCCACTTTTGCAGACAGCACAATGTGGTTCCGAAGGCACAAGAAGACAAGACGAGGCAGGACAAGGCAAGACAGGACGAGGCAAGGCAGGACCAGACAATCACGACGAGTGAATCCGCGATGAGGATTGCCAGGATAGCCTCCGAGTCGGCCGTCGACTGTGCCAAGACGGCCCAAGGGGGCCTACAACGTTTCCATAGCCATTGGGGCCCAGGTCGAGTCAACTCGGCCCGGTCAAGCCCGAAAGCTAAACTCCACACACTTCTCTACGTCCTCTTCTGCAGTCAGCACGCGATGAACTCACAGTGGGTGGTCGTTCTCGCTTTCCTGCCAGTGACTTTCCAGCTGAGTTTACACTCGGATGGAGCTGAGGTGGATGCAGACGGTAAGGAGGATGATCCAGTGTATGATTTCGGCGGCTTCTTTGAGTTCATTGGGCGGGAGAAGCAGAACGAGGAGCAGCAGCTCGTCGGGCAGGGCCGCAAGATCGCCGAGACCTCGGATCTGGCAGGGCCTTGGAAGGCGCCGCTGAGCCCTGGCGACACTTACCCCATGTCAGCGTCTTGGCCGCTCAGTAGCACAGCGCAGTGCACTAGTGCCGACATGACGATCCTCAACGACATGGCCTTGAAGCAGGCGAAGAAGAAGCTGCCACCAGCCATGCGCGCGGGGGATTTCAAGACAGGGTCGTGCTACACGGGGGCCGAGGCCTCTGGGTCGTGGGATATGACGGGCGGTTCCGGGTTTGTCCCGTGCTACCAGTCGTATTTCCCTGTCTCCACGCCGTGCGCCACCTGCATCGGGAGCGTCTACCTGATGGCCAAGTACAACATGTCGACCAAGTGCTACAATCTCTGCAAAGGGCGCCCGCATAGGAGGGACGGTGCCCACTGGTGCTGGGAAGATTGCCAGTCCTGCATGTGGTACATCGGGAAGAAGCTGTCAGACTGCTACGGGGAGCCTTACGACATGGCTTGCAAGTACGCCAAGGAGCTTGGGAAGGAGGGGTGGTTCGAGAAGAATGGCATCGATCCCAACGGGGCCTTTCCGTAGCGGGGCAACCAGACCTCAGCGATTTCAGACGCCGCTGCTTGTCTCGCCATTCTCGGCTGTGTCTTCCTACCGTACTTCCGATGATGGATTCAGGATGTGCTCGAGTCCACGCCCGCCCCCTCGCTAAACAAATCACAGCAAGACAGTCCCCATTACTCCAACGCCTTAGCGTGTCGGAACCGTGGCGGTCAAGTGCGGCAAGTATATGCAAACGTTTCATCCTATATGTTATGTCTGCATTGTCTGCCTTTCTTCACGAGCACGACCACAACACAGTCGTCACGCGTGTGCAAGCTCATTGCTGTAGATGCGCCCGAGAACCGTCAATCATGTTTCGATGTCGAACAGATGCGCTGTCAGACATGCGAAGCTTGAGCGTCCAAGCGTGAGTCCCAAGCCATTCGACTTCCGAGCTTTTTAGGCAATCGAACGTACACATGCAAGGAGTCACAACGGTCCCATAGTCCAGCCGAGAGGCCTCGAAGAGGCAATGACTGCTGATTGTGTTTTGTGTCATGTATGCCTTTTTCAGATTCGTCCTGTGGTGTCAAGCTTGTGGCCGCCCGTCGTTGCTTGTCGCCGTCGTCCTTGGTCGCGATGTTGGTGGTGCGAGGCTCGGTCTTTGCTTTGCTTTGCATTGCTTTGCATTGCCTTGCGTTTCTTTGCGTGACGTGTTACGTTGCTTCGCGTTGCTTCACATTGCTTTGCATTGCGTTGGATGGCTTTGCGTTGGCTTGCATTGCGTCACACTGCTTTGCATCGTCATGTTTTATTTGGCATTGTTTCGCATGGCTGCGCATTGCTTTTCATTGCATTGCATCACCTGGCGTTGTTTTGCATTGCGTTACGTGTCCTTGCGTTGCTTCGCATTAGTTAGCATTTCTTTTTTATTGCTTCGCATTGCCTTGCATCGCGGTGCATACATTTACATTCGTTGCATAGTTGTGCGTTGCGTTGCAGTGATTTGCATTGCTTCGCAAAGCTTCGCAGTGCTTCGCATTGCCTTGCATTTCGTTTACAATGCTTTGCATAGTTTTGTTTCGCGGTGCATTTCTTAGCAGGTGTTGCAATGCTCCAGGTTGTTTCGCATTGCGTTGCAATTGCCTTGAGTTGCGTTGCATTGTGTTGCATTGCTTTGAGTTGTTTTGCGTTGCTATGCTGCGCGTTGCGTTGCATTGTGGTGCGTTGCTTTGGTTTGCGTTGCGTTGTATTGTTTCGCCGTGGCATTGCGTGGCATTGCTTTGCGTTGCGTGCCATTTGCACTGCATTGCCTTGCGTTGCGTCGCATTGCGTTGCGTTGCTCTATTTTACGTTGCGTTTTGTTGCATTGCGTTGTTTTGCATTGCTGCACTCTATCGCATTACTTTGCCGTGTTTTGAATTGCGTTGCAGTCGCATTGCTCTGCATGGCTGTTATGTGCTATGCGTTGCGTTTCGTTGGCTTGCGGGCTGCGCTGCCTTTCGCAGCATAGAGTGCACCACATGGATTGCACCACCTTGATTGCGCCACGTTGCTATGCGCCACCTAGACTGCACCACGCAGATTGCGGAAAGCTTTTTTTGAGGGCCCATGCTGGCTGACATGTTCTGTTCAAGGGGAGTGTCGCCTCGCGGGAGCGCGGGCCCATGGCTTGTTTTGGTATGAATCGTGGCTTCGGGAGAGCGAACCCATAGGTGTTCGCCATGGATCGTGGCTTCGATAGCTCTGGCCCATTCTTTCTGACGGGGGATCGTGGCCTCGGGAGCGCAGGCGCAGTAGTGGCTACTAGGAGCGTGGCCTCGGGAGCGCAGATTTATAGTATGTTATGGCCCGAGTCGTGGCCTCGGGAGCGTGAGCCCACAGTTGCTTGCCATGGATCTTGGCCTCGAGGGCTTTGGGCCATAATTTCTTACGGCGGATCGTGTCTTCGGGAGCGCGGGCGCAGCAGTGGTTACCAGGAGCGTGGCCCCGGGAGGGTTCGCGTCGCCGGGGGCGCGAGCTTGCAGATCTTTTCGTAGGAATCGTGGTCCCGGGAGCGCGGACGACTGTCTGTTTGAGTGTGTCGTGGTCTCGAGAGCACGGACCTCGAGTCTTCATGATGGATCGAGGCTTCGCAGGGCCGGGCCCGTCGCTTCTTCCTGGGGGTCGTGGCCTCCTGGGCGCGGGTGTATGGACCGAGTGAGGAGGCCGAGGGGTCTTGAATTGTCCTTGGGTTTGCGGCCGATGTGGGGTTGAGATGGAGGAGGAGGAGGAGGAGGAGGAGGAGGAGGAGGAGGAGGAGGAGGAGGAGGAGGAGGAGGAGGGAGGAGCGAGGAGGAGGAGGAGGAGGAGGATGAGGAGGGAAGAGTGAGGAGAGGGAATAGGCGGATGAGGAAGAGGATGACGATGATGATGATGATGATGATGATGCTGATGATGATGATGCTGATGATGATGATAATGATGATGGTGATGATGATGATGATGGTGATGATGATGATGATGATGGTGGTGGTGGTGGTGGTGATGGTGGTGGTGATGATGGTGATGATGATGATGGTGATGATGATGATGATGCTGATGATGATGATGAAGAGGAATTGGCGGAAGAGGAAGAAGGAGCGAGGAGGAGGAAAAGGCGGAGGAGGAGGAGGGGGAGGGGGAGGGGCCGCGTTGCCGATTCATGTTTTCTCTCTTCAGACAGCGCTTGCTCTTAGGGCCTCCTCTCTCTCTCTCTCTCCCTCTCTCTTCTGCGGAGCTGGGCCCGTCCGCCGCCCCGGCGGCCCCCGTCCGTGACCGCCGCAATGCATTGCGTTGCGTTGCGCTGCTTTGCGCTGTTCTGCGCCACATCGGTTGCACCACCTAGAGCGCGCTGAGTAGACTGCAAGAGACCGTTCTTAGTCTTGCTCTTACTATTGTCGGCCCCGCCCCGCGAGCCCCCGCGAGCTGCCCCGCAGCCATCCCCGGCGACCCGCCGGGCGATTCGCCCCGCCGATTCGCCGAAGAGTCCACCCGCCACCCACCCTGCGAAGCGTGCCCCGTGCCAGGGGCACGCTTGGAAGGCAGGCCCTCGCCGGGACGCCCCCCCCCCCCCCCCCCCAGAGCTGGGGTCCTCCTCCTCCTCCTCCTCCTCCTCCTCCTCCTCCTCCTCCTCCTCCTCCTCCTCCTCCTCCTCCTCCTCCTCCTCCTCCTCCTCCTCCTCTATGGTGCCCTGCGTCGCCTGGCCCGAGGATGCCCAAAGCGCGGCGTGGATGTCCCCAATGGGTGTGAGTTTGGCCCTCGAATCCTGGCAAGACCAGGAGTGCTCAGATGGCCCAGACTATGCCACATCCGCCGCAACACTCATGATGCTCCAACCTACTTTAGCCTTGATCACCAGAAAGAGTTTCGAGCGCCCCAAAAAAGTACCGAAACTCAAGGGTTTTCACTTGTCGGGCCCTGGGAGACACTCACTCGCCCAACACTGTTTCGACACTGTTTCGACGCTTTTCCAGATGCTCGAACTTATTTCTGGGATGCGGTCCTTAAGTGGGATGGGAACCACATGACGCAGCCCACCCCTTCTGTCCCGACGAGAGCGAAGTTCTGGCGCCTGCGGCGGGCTCCTCTGCGCAGCGCCTCAGAAACCGGCGCGCGCGGCGGGCTTTTGGACCATTTGCGCTCGAGCCTCGCAGAACTGCCGAGGCCGCCCCCCCGCCCCCCCTCGCTCTCGTCCGCGGCTGCGGGTGCTGTCGTGCCCTGTCTGCTCGAGGCCGCGGCCCCGATGTATCCAGGCCTCCCATGACTCCCATGTGGGGTCCGAGCAGGTGGGGGTCGAAGGATCGCGCCGCATCGCCGATGCGTCGACGATGCGGCTCGATGTGGAGCGCGTGCTTTCCCACGCGAACGTCGCCGATGCATCGCCGACGTCGCCGGTGCGTAGCCGATGCATCGCCGATGCATCGCCGATGCGGCGCGGTCCTCCGATCCCATCTGCTCGGACCCCATCTGGGAGGCCTCCTATGTAGCGGGCACAGCCCATCTGTTACGAGGGGCCGTGGCGGGGGGCCCCCGTTTGGTGCTGAGGCATCGGGGCCTCGAGCGCGCGGATCCCTGTTGTTTGCACGTGCCCCCCGGCGCCCAGGAGCCGAGGAAGCGTAGTTCGGGCGTGGCGCGGCGCCGCTCGCAGGTCGAGCGGGGGGGGGGGGCGCGAACGGTTCCAGAAATCTGGAGCCTCGGGCTCGGGGAAATAGAGCAGTTCCATAAGCTGAGGGCCGGTGGCCAGAAAATCTCTGTTGCCAGTCGTCAGACCCTAGCGACATTGCAGCGGTGCGAGCTGGCTGCTTGCACGGATGAAAAGCGAAGCCTCTCGGTTGCTGATGCCTGGTCCTCGAAGCCAGATGGCCCTCATCCTCATCGTCAATCCTCTCGCTGCACCCGGCTCCTCGGTCCTCGGCCTCATCTTCACCCTGCCCCTGTTTTTGCCCTCGTCCTTGCCTCGCCGTCCGTAGCCGGTCGGGCTCACGAGCAGCCCCCGGCCTGCAGCGAACACCTGCACGCCACGAAGCCATGGAAGGCAGGCCCGCCGCCAGCGGTACACCTCGGAGGCGCCCGCTGCGAGTGCGCACGCTCCGCGCCGTGTGTGGCTGCGGCTACGCGCCTCCGGAGGACTCCGCCTTCTGCTCCAAGTGTGGGCGCCAGCAGGCCATAGGCGGAGGAGGAGGGAAAGGAATAGGGAAAGGAGAAAAAGGAGGAGGAGGAGGACCAGGAGGAGGAGGCGGAGGAGGAGGAGGAGGACGAGGGGAAGGCGGAAAAGGAGGAGGGGCAGGAGGAGGAGCAGGACGAGGGAGGAGGAGGGGGAGGAGGAGGAGGAGGACGAGGGGGAGGAGGAGGA